AGCAGTCTCGCACTTTTATAGCTGACGGCGTCGCTCAAAAGACTCAATGGCTCATAAGTTTGTTTTTCTGCGCGCTTTTAAATGAATAAAAGAAATTTATTTTAAGAGCATGCAGTAGAGAGTAGATGGCCTCAAGAAGAACTCTGAACTACTACTACTCATAAATATATATGGATGGATTACACATACTTAACAGTCAAATTTTACATCATTTTAGCTTTGCTATAAGACTTTATTTAGCCGCACAAATAAAAGTCGCAGAAAGTGTAATATAATCGAATGTTCCTCTATTGTTGTTGTTACATGTTGTTCATTTTAAATACGAGCCAGTTGTGCGGTTGTGCTTGAGCCTGCAGAGACACAGAGCTCGGCGCCATGATTGCTGCCACTCTCGCGGGAGACGCTCTTCACATGGATGTGATTTTTGAGCATGGCAGCGCGCAGGATTAGCATGCGGGTGTGGCGCTGATATTGTTTGCCCATGAGAAGGGCACGTTCAAAGGTGCTGTTGCGCTGATCGGCCTCCTTGGCATACAGAATCTTGTTGTGGGAGTCAATGCGCGCCTGGATCTGCCCATCCAGTATCAGCTGCATTACCTCGTTTTCCAGATCACTCACGGTCGAATTGAAGGCTGTGGCCATTTTGTGCATATCGGCAGACATGTACGGGCTGAAGTATTGGATCAGCGCACGATTGCGTATCTTCGTGTAGAGTAGGCTGACGTGTGGAGCAATGTACATGTCTATCAGCAGATTGTCGCGAATCTCATCGAGCAACGTCAAGCAACTGGCGTACTTGCTCTCGTAGAATTTGAAAATAATATCACGCAGTTGTGGCTCCAGTTCGAGGAACAGCTTGAAAGATGTGGATGCAATCACTAGACGCTTCAGCTCCTGGCGATCGAACGTGGCCAAAGCGCAGAGTCCGCCATAGACGGCAACATTGCTAGTGGAGATCATCTCTGGAAAATCGCAATGATCAAAGTTGGCAGCCAAAAAGTGTTTGGCTGCTACTTTATATTTCTTTTGCTGGAGCTCGGCCAAGCCGGCGGCGCACTCTAGACGTGTGTGCACCTGTGCATTCGCCTCCTTGGAGCCCTCGGAAAAGTCAGGTGTGCTCTCCGCCTTTGATATGTAGCTCATGACATGCGCCCAGTTCTTCAAGTAAATAGAAACCTTGATAACATTCAGGCACATATTAACCACATGTTTGCCACTGGTGCAGTAGTCCCGGGCACGCGAATAACACTTCAAGGCATTGGTCAGATCGCCACAGCTGAGGTAGTGATCTGCCAGGTCGTCATGGCCACGCCGGATGCTCTCCTTGATGGAATTGGATTTATAATTCTTTAGATCGGAATCGAGTTTCTCCAGCTTGAGTGCCGCCTTTTTTAACTTGGCATCCACCCAGACAGCGTCATAGGCGAAAGCATCCTTCTCGCCTCCTGCGCTGCTCGCATTGGCTTGAGCCGCTACTGCAGCTGGTTGTGCAGCGATATCCGGCAGAGCTGCCGCAGCGGCGGCAGCAGCAGCAGCTGCAGCGCTAGCTGCTTGGTCACCGCCCAAAGCAGCGCCGCCAGCACCAGCAGCTCCGCCAACTGCTTGCAGGTCACTCAAACGCTTGTGCAGCATTTGATAGACTTTCACGTTGTATGTCGACTGGACGTAGGTGATGGCCATTTTGAGTGCTTCCACCGCGAGTACCGGGCAAACGTCGGCGACGTATATTAGTCGATCGAGTCGTGCAATGCCAGTGTATTGATTGGCATATACCTCCAAATCGATTGTTGGATTCTCTACCACAATTTGCTGCTCTTCATTGTTTTCATTGTCTTCGTTCGGGGGCGCATCCACTTGCATTGGTTCGACGGCATTCTTCAGATGTGTCGTAGGGAGCAATTAGGTAAGCTTATGGATGCATTACAGAATATAATATCACATACCTGCATTAGCGGCGGCATAGGCAGCACAGGCATCTTGAAACGTTTTGTTTACAAGCCTAATTTGCGAAAATTATTTTAATGCCTTTTTATTCTTTGCCGACTTTTGTTCGATTATCCACTGTTAGAGATTATCGAATGAGAGTTACACGCGCACGACATCGATATAAGAAGCCGATAGTTTAGTTGGCTATTACAATTGGATTTTTAAATGTTCCATCTCCAATTACTACTATTTTGTGCGAATGCCACAATTGTCAAGAGGAGCGTAAACGTTTTGTTTATTTCGCTAAGTTTTTCTATCAATAATACTAAAACTAACGCAAACTCTTCAGAAAAATGTCAAATATAACCGCCGCGGTCATTGCCAACCGCAATAAAAAGCATTTTTTGGGTGTTCCCGCACCGCTTGGCTATGTAGCCGGCGTGGGTCGTGGGTGAGTTTTTGTTATTATAATTTTTGCAGTCAATAAAAATATATTAATGTTTTCTTTTTGTTGTCATATAGCGCCACTGGCTTTACAACACGTTCAGATATTGGTCCAGCTCGAGATGCCAATGATGTTTCCGATGATCGCCACGCGCCTCCTGCCACAAAGCGAAAAAAGAAGGACGAGGAGGAGGAGGAAGATGAGGATTTGAATGACTCGAACTATGACGAGTTTAGCGGCTACAGCGGATCACTCTTTTCAAAAGATCCATACGACAAGGATGACGAAGAGGCGGACGCTATTTATGATTCTATAGAAAAGCGTATGGATGAAAAACGCAAGGAATATCGCGACCGTCGCTTGCGTGAGGACCTGGAGCGTTATCGTCAGGAGCGTCCAAAAATTCAGCAGCAGTTTAGCGATCTGAAGCGTTCGCTGGCCACAGTCACTAGCGAGGAGTGGTCCACCATACCCGAAGTAGGCGACAGTCGCAATCGCAAGCAGCGCAATCCGCGCGCCGAGAAATTCACTCCGTTGCCGGACAGCGTACTCTCGCGGAATTTAGGCGGAGAGACGACCACTTCACTGGATGCTAGCTCTGGTTTGGCTTCCATGGTGCCCGGCGTGGCGACGCCTGGCATGCTAACACCCACTGGAGATTTGGATTTGCGTAAAATTGGTCAGGCGAGAAACACACTAATGAATGTTAAACTTTCGCAAGTTTCGGACTCTGTGACGGGACAAACGGTAGTCGATCCCAAGGGTTATTTGACTGATTTGCAGAGCATGATACCCACCTATGGCGGCGATATCAATGACATTAAAAAGGCGCGTCTGTTATTGAAGAGCGTGCGTGAAACGAATCCGAATCATCCCCCCGCTTGGATAGCGTCGGCTCGCTTGGAAGAGGTCACCGGCAAGGTACAAATGGCACGCAATTTAATAATGCGTGGCTGTGAAATGAACCCACAGTCAGAGGATCTCTGGCTGGAGGCGGCGCGTCTCCAACCACCTGATACAGCCAAAGCCGTCATTGCACAAGCGGCACGTCACATTCCCACCTCGGTGCGCATTTGGATCAAGGCCGCCGACCTGGAGACCGAAACCAAAGCCAAACGACGCGTCTTTCGTAAAGCCCTCGAGCACATACCGAACTCAGTGCGTCTCTGGAAGGCGGCTGTGGAGCTGGAAAATCCAGACGATGCTCGCATTTTGCTCTCGCGAGCTGTCGAGTGCTGCAATACGAGCGTGGAGCTGTGGCTGGCATTGGCTCGGCTGGAGACTTATGAGAATGCGCGCAAGGTGCTGAACAAGGCGCGTGAGAATATCCCAACGGATCGTCAGATCTGGACAACGGCTGCCAAGCTGGAAGAGGCCAATGGCAACATACACATGGTGGAGAAGATTGTCGATCGTTCGCTCACATCGCTGACGGCCAATGGAGTGGAAATCAATCGCGATCACTGGTTCCAGGAGGCCATCGAAGCGGAGAAATCAGGTGCCGTTCATTGCTGTCAGGCGATCGTCAAAGCTGTCATTGGCATTGGCGTCGAGGAGGAGGATCGCAAGCAAACTTGGATTGATGATGCCGAATTCGTGAGTATCTGCAGCTTACCCTATAATAACACTAAATTAAAACCTTTTCTTTTAGTGCGCCAAAGAAAATGCATTTGAGTGCGCGCGCGCTGTCTACGCGCATGCGTTGCAAATGTTTCCATCGAAGAAGAGCATTTGGTTGCGTGCTGCATACTTTGAGAAGAACCATGGAACCCGGGAGTCTCTGGAAGCGCTGCTGCAACGCGCTGTGGCGCATTGCCCCAAATCGGAGATACTCTGGCTGATGGGCGCCAAGTCGAAGTGGATGGCTGGCGATGTGCCCGCGGCGAGAGGAATCTTGTCGTTGGCTTTCCAGGCCAATCCAAATTCCGAGGACATTTGGTTGGCTGCTGTCAAGTTGGAATCAGAGAACTCGGAATACGAACGTGCGCGACGTTTGCTGGCAAAGGCGCGTGGATCGGCGCCAACGCCTCGTGTCATGATGAAATCGGCACGCCTTGAATGGGCGCTGGAACGACTCGACGAGGCGTTACGTTTGCTGGCCGAAGCCGTGGAGGTGTTCCCTGATTTTCCGAAACTCTGGATGATGAAGGGTCAGATTGAGGAGCAGCAGCAGCGCACTGACGACGCAGCTGCTACATATACGTTGGCATTGAAGAAATGTCCCACCTCGATACCGCTATGGATACTGTCGGCTAATCTGGAGGAACGTAAAGGTGTCCTAACCAAGGCACGCTCAATTTTAGAGCGAGGCAGGCTGCGCAATCCCAAAGTCGCCGTGCTCTGGCTGGAGGCGATACGCGTGGAGCTGCGCGCCGGACTTAAAGAGATAGCCAGCACAATGATGGCGCGCGCCCTGCAAGAGTGTCCCAATGCCGGTGAGCTGTGGGCGGAGGCCATCTTCATGGAAACAAAGCCACAGCGTAAAACCAAGTCAGTGGATGCTCTCAAGAAATGCGAGCACGATCCGCACGTACTGCTGGCGGTGTCCAAGCTGTTCTGGTCGGAGCACAAGTTCTCCAAGTGCAGAGATTGGTTCAATCGAACGGTAAGAACTAAATGAAAAAACTGCTATATATATTCTATATATATTTTCTATATTTCGTTTTCACATAGGTCAAAATTGATCCAGATCTGGGCGATGCTTGGGCATATTTCTACAAATTTGAGCTGCTGCATGGCACGGAACAGCAGCAGCAGGAGGTGCTCGAGCGCTGCATAGCCGCAGAGCCCACACATGGCGAGTCGTGGTGTCGCGTGAGCAAGTGCAT